CTCTCTCTCTCTCTCTCTCTCTCTCGTCTCTCTCTCTCTCTCTCTCTCTCTCTCTCTCTCTCTCTCAAAACTGATCAAGCTTTGACTTACGATTCTCCTAAGACCCTATTTCATAATTTCCCCATCTCCCAATTTCCTATCTCCCAATTTTCCTATTTCCTATCTCCCAATTTCTCTATCTTCCTTTCTCCCAATTTCACCATCTTCCCATCTCCTAATTTCTCTATTATCATATTTCCCAATTTCTCTATTCTCATATTTCCCAAATTCTCTGTCCTCCTATTTCCCAATTTCCCTATCTCCCAATTTTCATATTTCCCAATTCCTCTATTCACCTATTTCCCAATTTCTCTATCTCCCAATTTCCCTATTTTCCTATTTTCTAATTTCCCTATTATACGGCGATAATTTCCACTGGGTCAGCGGCCTTTTTTCATAGTCAATAACTGTCATGAAGGAAGATCTATTGTTCATATTTGTCTTTGTGAAGTTGGACTGATTCGCAGCCAAGCTCGATCCAGAATTAAATATCGTTTCTACTGGTAATTATTGTTATCATCATCATTATTATTGTTGTTGTTATTATTTGATTGTGGATGATGATGATGATGATGATGATTATCATTATCATTATTACCATCATCACCATAATCACTCATCGTTATGAATGTTGTCATGATTATCTTTGTTATTATATAAATATTAATATTACCATCATCGTCATCATCATCACAATCACCATCACCATCACTGTCAACTTCATCACTGATTATTATTATTAATCTAATCACTCTATTCGCCGTCAGAAAAAAATAGATAAGACAATAGAAAAAAATAGATAGATAAGATAATAAATGGATAAATAATAGATAAAGATTAGATAGATACGATAATAAATAGATAGATAATATATAAGAAAAATACATAGATAAGAACAAACACACGAAAACAAAGAGTGTTCCCCTTCTGTGATGGAATAATTCTCCCTTCATTACAACAAGGTCATCCCTGCGTTTGCCGTTCACCTGTTTAAATGCTCTTACGTGTATCACACAAAATAGAACGGAAAATCTCGCGTCTGAAAAATAAAGGTCCATTTTGGGTTGCTTTTTTTTTTTTTTTTTTTTTTTTTTTTTTAATCTCGCTGTGTTTAGTAACACCCAGTTTTTTTTTCTCTCTCTTTTTGACACATTTTCGTAGGCTTAAATCCGGCATTTTTTCTCCTTTTTCTTTTTATATTCTTTTGTTGACTCTCGATGGTTGATGATGACAGCTCGTTGTGAATTTCAGTAATGAATTTAATAACTTGCGTCTAAGTGTATATATGCTTCGTCGAAGGGTATTACTTACGTATACATGCACATACATGCGCATTGGAATAAACATACACACACACACATGCATACACTTACTCACACAGACAGAAAAAGGAAAATAAAAATTCCGTGTCGACTATCATTGTCTTCCTGTATATTCTGCATACTTTTACAAACAAAAACTAAATGTCATCGGCGTAGAAAAAAAATAAGCGAGAAGAGAGAGAAAAAAAAAAAAAACGAAGCGCACCATTTTCTGGACTATTAACAATCCTATTATCTTGCCTCGTATATCCCACACCCGTTTCCCCCCCTCCCCCTCCTTCACCTCATTGCTCCCTCCTTCCCTCCATACACTCCCCTCCTCCCCTCCCCTCCCCTCCTCCCTCTCCCCCTTTCCTCCCTCCTCCCTGTCCTTCTCCACTCCTTCCCCTTCTCCCTGTCCTTCTCCCCTCCTTCCCTCCCTCCCTCCCCCTCTCTTCCCTGCCTCCCCTCCCATTACTCCCTCCCTCCCTCTTCCTCTCCCTCTCCCTTCTCCTTCCTCCGCCTCCCCTCCTCCTTTCCTCTCTCTTCCCTCTTCCACCTTCTCCTCCCTCCTATTTTTCTCTTCTTCCTCCTTCCTTCTCTTCTTCTCCCCCCCCCTCTTCCCCTCTTTATTCGCCTTCCTCCTCCCTCTCCTATTCTCCTTCTGCCTTCTTCCTCTCCATTCTTCTTCTTCTTCCCCCCCCCCTGTTCCTCCCTCCTCCAATAATAAGTGGAGGGAGGGGAGGAAGAGGAGGTGGGAGATGGATGGAAGAGGAAGATGAGAAAGAAGAACGAGGCAGGATAAAAGGGAAGGAGGGGAGGAGGGAGGAAGGAAGCGAAGGAAGAAGAGGAAGAGGAAGGAGGGGAGAAATGATGAAGTAATGAAGGGGAGGGAGAAGACAAGAAGAACTGCAAAAGAAAAGAAAAAATAAAGATGATGATGATGATGATAATGAAGGAGAAGAAAACAAAAAGGAAGGTATAAAGAAGAGGAGAAGAAAGAAAAAAAATACAAACAAAAAGAAGAATGAGGAGGAGTGGGAGAGACAGAAAAAAATGAGATGACGTTAATGGTTATTAGAAAAGAAAATTGTGAAAAACGTTTGAAGATAAAGTGGAAAGAATAAAGAATGCGATAGGGAATTTGATAAAAGAGATGAATTGACAGATCAACAATTCTTTTTATATATATAAAGAGAGGATAGAGAGACTGGATAAAGACGTGATGAAGGAGGAGGGGGAGGAGGAAGAGGAAATGGAGATAATGAAGAAAGAGACAATTTCCGAAGAAAAGTTTAGAGACAAGGGATAGAAGGAAAAGAATAAGGAAATGGAAGAGGAGAATGAAAGATTGAAAGAAAAGGAGTAAACGTAAAAAAAAGACAAATGCACTGACACAAGATAGAAAAGGTAATAAATGAATGAATGAATACATAAAAACACGAATGAATAAATTGATAAACAAATAAAGACAGAGATATATAAAATAAAATAAAACTAGAATAATAAATATTATAATAATAATGATAATGAAAAATAAAACCCAAAATTTATGGAAGACCCGTCATCAAAATAATACAAGTACTAATATAACACACCCCTCCAAAACCACAACACCTCAAGATTGTTTTGTGTGGTGCAGTGGTAGCCATCCCGTCTCGCAATCTTATTAACCCGCGTTCGCATCCCGCACATCCCGGCTATTTTTTGCACACAAGGGGTGATGTAGAAATAAAACATAAATAGCAAGTGGTACAACACCCTTATATTGTGGTGTGTGGTGCAGTGGTACCTTTCTCGTCTCACAATCTTGCTAACCCGCGTTCACAACCCCGCACTGCCAGAGAACGGTCACCCCGGCTATTTCTCGCACACAGGGGGGAGGGGGCGATAAGGGGGTCGGTAATTAAGAAGCAAATAAACAGCCTATTGCACAAGAATAACCATTACAACAAATACAACCCCTCCCATTCCTTACACACATCAACAAACAACTTGTCAACACCAAGAACAACCATCATAACAAACGAAATTAAACAAGATTATAACCTCACAACCCTTCTTCCTTTCACAGATACGCCGACTTGGTGGTGTTGTCGGATGGAGTTGTGCCGACCTTCGCCACCTCGTGTGCGGGCGGGCCTGGTCAACGCCCGTGTCTCCTGGGAGGTTGTTATAACCAGGTGGCCGAGTGTGATACGAAGTACGATTGTCCGGATAGGATTGACGAACGCGGTTGTGAGTATTTTGATGTTGTTTCGGTTGTTCTTGTTGATTATGTTATTATATTTATTTTTATTATTTTTCATTATTTTTATCATTCTTATTGTTATTGTTATTATTATTATTATCATTATTATTATTATTATTATTATCATTATTATTGTTATTATTATTATTATTATTATTATTGTTGTTGTTGTTGTTGTTGTTATTATTACAATCATTATTATTTTTATTGTGATTATTATTATCTTTTTTATTATTGTTGTTGCTGTTGATGTTACGGTCATTATTAATATTATTATGATCATTGTTATTATTATTACAGCTTTTACTATTACTGTGCCTGTTGTGGCTGTTACTGTTATTGTGATAAGTGATAATAATGATAATGATAGTAATAATGATAACATCCATATTATATATTATTGTTATTATTAATATTAATTTATTATTATTATCATTAAAATTATTATCATTACATGATATTGATGATGATAAGTTATAGTTATCATTATTATTATCATCATGATAATTATCAACAATGATGTTATTCAGTCTGTTGTTTTACATTATAGAAATGGTGGATTTTGTTGCAAATTGTTTTTTGTGTTTTAAATCATCATTTTTTTAAAAATTAGTTTATGCAAAAGATGAAATGGAGTTGCGATGCTTTTGAGATTAAATAATTATTTTCGTCTGCTTTCATTGTTGTTTAGAGCTGGAGGCAAAGTTGAAATCCGCATCAATCACAGAAAAATGTATTTTGTTATTTCATTTCGTAATGTAGCGATAGATTTTTTTTTGTAAATGTGTGTGCGTGTGTGTGTGTGTGTGTGTGTGTTGTGTGTGTGTGTGTGTGTGTGTGTGTGTGTGTGTGTGTGTGTGTGTTGTGTGTGGTGTGTGGTGTGTGTGTGTGTGTGTGTGTGTGTGTGTGTGTGTGTGTGTGTGTGTGTGTGTGTGTGTGTGTGTGTGTGTGTGTGTGTGAATGTGTGTGTGTGTGTGTGTGTGTGTGTGTGTGAATGTGTGTGTGTGTATGTGTGTGTATAATATATATATATATATATATATATATATATATATATATATATATATATATATATATATTATTATATGTGTGTGTGTGTGTGTGTGTGTGTGTGTGTGTGTGTGTGTGTGTGTGTGTGTGTGTGTGTGTGTGTGTGTGTGTGTACTTTGCCTTTTTTGTAAATATTATTGATGATTGGTGATAGAAGCTTGTTTCATGGTTAGAAAAATACGTATTATTAAGATCCCTTTTCTAACTCCGTCGTTTACTCATTTGTCTCTGTTATCCCTTCCGATACTGTTCCCATGACTATCCACGTCTTGTCGAGAGAACCAAAGACATTTTCATTACAGTTTGAAAGGGTTTCATTTCCCATAGTCTGGCTTAAATCCATTTTTTTCATAGTCTTC